CACGCTTTTGTCGGACCTCAACGGGACCGACGGGCTACCCTACCACCTATGATAGGTCTAGTTGATATGTATAAATGCAGATGCAATATGTATGCAGAAGGAACCGGACTCTATACATTTTCTTGGCCCAAACATGAATTTTTAAATTAATATGGGGAATTATGACAAAATAATAATAATAAGCAAAGAAATAAAATAAGACAAAATTGTGAAGCCGAGCTTAAAATTGATTTTCATGTCTAGTTGTGGAGATGAAAACTATTGAGCAAGCCCGTCCAAAAGCTTCTATCAGGCAAGTGTGGACTTGAATTTTATTTGCATCAAAAGTAAATTAACCGTCCCCTTAGCTCCTTCTAAATTAAATTTAAGTGCAGGCATGCGAAGTTATGTGGACTAGATGGACGATTTAAATTCGATTCTTTCAAATTATTGAAATGCAATACAGTCTGTGCTATTGCCAGAGATATTCTAGTTAGGACATCCAGCTTTCGGGGTGGATAGGATATTTGCCCTGCTCTGAAACCTACCCTAAGCTCTTGGAACCGTCATGGAACCTGTTGGCTGCACAAGTTTCAGGATACACCGTATAATCCTATACTTTTCCAAAAGAATTTTTAACGAATAAAGTATTATCGCGGTTCTAGTTATTAACATATTGAACAGTTAATACAACACATAAATAGGTTACATGGTAAAATACATGTTCATGTCTAATGATAACATAACCCTAACATGATATTAATATTGAGAGTGAGAAAACAAACTAATGAATCAACTTATGCTCGTCATTTAAATCTATGAGTTTACATAAAAAACCTACACTACTTTACTTAGAGCATGCACCAAAATCCATCATCGTAGAGAGGGGGTGAAAAGGGAAAAACATTTTCCTCATTTTCCAGCATTTGGATCACTTAGGAAAGTGAGTCAATGAAAAATGTTTTTCTACCAAAGCTTAAAATTAGGAAAATGATTTCATCTTTAAAAAAGCGGGAATCATATTTCAAAATGTAACTAGGTATCGGCGCTTGGACCAAAAATTCTACGCTTGGACATGGGAACCCCAACATTCTTTCCCGAGCCCTTGGCAGCGAGGCCAGGTGCCCGGCGCCTAGGCTCAGGTCCATCAAGGCCGGTCCCGGTGTGACATCCGGAAATTTCGTAATAACATGTATGTGACAATGGAAATTTTCCATGTTCGATAATGATACTTAAATTATAAAACTAAGTATTATTTGGCTTAGTATTCGTGTGGATGCGTAGAAATCATCGTTGGACCGCAAGTTGTGAGGCGCGAATTCGGAAACATAATCATTCCGAGTTCGACGTGTTTAGAATTCCTAAACGTTGATGCGTACGATAATAGTAGTGCGGTGTTAATTAATTTACCGTCGTCTTAATAATTAATGGGTAATATTATTAGATTAAACTTTAGTTAATTAGTGATAATCATTAATTTCTAATTGGTGTTAAGGGGGGGAAGATTTTCTATTTTTCTCCTTAATTCTCACAAAATTCCCTCAAGACGCCTTCCTCTCACGTGGCTCATAAAGGATGAAGCATGGCCACATGCCACATGCCACATGTCCTTCTTAAACCAAGTTTCTTGCATTAACTTGACACCTAGCCATAAGCCATCATTATTTGGCTATTACTCATCCCTAACAATGTCTTGACTTCTCACACCTAGCCGTGGATGGAAAGAAGAAATGACACCTAGGAATACATGCAATTATCCACCTCAAAGTCTAATCCTTTGTTTCATTTTCATCGGAGTAACATCGAAGGGAATTTTCACCCCAACCCGTAACTCTCTTATGCACTGTCAACCTTCAAAAAGAATCTACTTTCATCAACACCCGATCCAAAATCTACATGTTGGTTTTGGACATTTAGATTTTAAGCGAGATAAGTGAAGACTCTAGGATTAAGTTAGATTAATCTACTTGTCGCTTTTAACTTGGATGGTTGTGATATGCTATCTTATGTGCTATAATATGGTAGATTTGGTGGTTGCTGGTTTGTTTTGTTGGCCTTGTACGTGTTCAGAATGTGTGTGAATTGTTTTCTTAAAGTGTGGTATTATTGGCAAATTAAATTGTTAAATCTAAACATGAAAACGTCATATTTGAGGTGATGGTTGGATTCGGTTTTGCTAGTTTCATGCATGTTCAAAAGGTACTTGATCATCTGACTTAAGTGGTGGTACATGTGGCAAATGGAAATGATGAATTTGAACTTGGATAAAGTCATATTTTAAGTTCAGACTTAACCGTCGTTCGTAAAAATCTATTGACTTCTAAACTGAGCAGAATTTAGCCTCAAATTCTGATTCTGTTTACTTCTGAACTGAACAGATTTTAGCCCCAAATTCTGATTCTAGTTACTTTTAAAACTGAACAGACTTTACTATCAAAATCTGGACAAGTCTATTTTGAGAACGAATAGATTTTTATCAAAGTTTGGACATGTCTACTTTTAAAACCCAACAGATTTTACTATTAAAATCTGGACATGTCTATTTTGAAACCAAACAGAATTTACTGCCAAAATCTGGACATGTCTATTTTTGAAACCAAACAGAATTTACTGGCAAAATCTGCACATCTCTATCTTTGAAACCGATCAGATTTTACTGTCAAAATCTGGACATGTCTACTTTTAAAACCGAATAGATTTTACTGTCAGAATATGAACATGTCTATTTTTTAAAACCGACCAGAACTTACTCTCAAAATCTAGGCATGTGTATTTTGAACTCGAGTATACCTTATTTTCAAAATCTAGACACATGTATTTTGAACTCAAGAATGCCTTATTTTCAAAATCTAGATACATATATTTCGAACTCGAGAATGCCCTATTTCAAAATCTAGACATATGTATTTTCAACTTGAGTAGACTTTAACCTTTTGAGTTTGAACCCTTATTGCTTTATACTTATTTGCTTGAATGATGCATTTCATTGCTTTAAGAGATATGTGATGTAAAAAGAAGATGAGTATATGCATGCAAATACTTATTTGTCATGGCTTGCATGAGAATAATATAAATTTCATCACCCACAAATCAACAGTGAAGATGCCCCGTGTGTTGGGATGCCCCGTTGGTCGAGATGCCTCGAAGGGTGTACCAAGATACCTCGAGAGTCGAGATGCCCCGTTGGTTAGGATGCCCCGGAGGGTGTACCGGGATGCCTCGAAGTGGAGATGCCTCGTTGGTCGGGATGCCCCGGGAGTGTTCGGGAGGAGAAATAATGAATCTAACGCATGAGCATGAGTGTTTTATATTATATGCTTGCGTCTAAATGAATTCATTGTAGAATATTGAATTGATCAGATTATTATGGCATATCCAGATGGAAAAGGTATAACATTTATTCAAGTTCTATGTATACTGTTTGTTATGCATATATGTTGTTTGTGCCGGGTGAAGTGATAAGCTGATTTTCCTAACGTAAACCTAGAGATTTTATTTACTAGGCCTCGACTCATTTCTTTATTTTTTAGACGTGTTGGATGGATGTTCCATAGCCGTTGCGTTTTGGAGTTCTCGTATATTATGAAGGTGTCTATGAAAATGTGTTTGTACCTGAGTCTGAAGCACTATACACTAAGTGTAGCTCTACTATATGGATCGACGTGGGATTTACAGAATGGGTTCCTTATCGATTTGTTGCATGGTATTGTAACCTTGACGGCGAGTTAGTTGGCCCGTTGAGGGGCTTCGACATAGATGATGGTGATCCTGCAACGGAGGGCGAAGTTACGATCCATGACGTTACCAGACTTCTGTCCAGGCAAACTTTTGGAGTATAATCTAGTATGGAGATAGGCAACCTCGACCTATTCAGACTTTTGTTTTGTGCTTATATGATGTTTGTCTGGACTTGTAAATCTGACAAGTTATGTTAATAAGAAGCATAAGTACTTTGACTAAACTTGTGTGATTTTCATGGTTAAAACATGTTCAGACTTTACTTCCGCTAGCCCAATTATTTATAAAAGATTAATATCTATTAAAAGACACGTGTAACGTGTCACGTTCTGGGGCGTCACACCCGGTGCCCTAGTCGAGTCCATCTAGGCTACACCCGGGACCCCAGTCGCCACACCTAGGACACCATTGCTTGTGCCCGGAATGCCAAGCCCGGAAATATCGAGGTCGAACCTGGGTCCTCGGCACCCATGCTTGGGTCCGTCGAGGCTAGGGCTTAGACCCTAGCGCCCATGCCTGAGTCCCTGACTTTCAAGCCTAGGTCCATCGAGTTTGGGCTTGGGACTCCTGTGCCCATGCCCATGCTCGAGTCCCCTGCCACTTGAGCCCCAGTCCATTGATGCAAGGCTCGGGCCTGAGCAATGGGGATCGGAGCTTGGCCTTGATGGACTCGAGCATGGTGCTAAGGTCCCAAGCCTGACCTCGATGGACCCGAGTCTAGGTGCAGGGAATTGGGTCTTGGGGTTGAGTTCGGGGGCCGACCTTGATGGACCTAGGCACAAGCACCGATACCGGAGTCCTAGGCCCGGCCTTAATGGACCTAGGCTCAAGAGCCGAGGTCCTAGTCTCAAGCCTAGGTCTTATTGAGGCACGAGCACTAGGGACCTAGGCTCGGCCGCTATAGACCGGGGCTAAGGCATTAAGGAGCCGAGCATGGGCACTGAGTTCTCGGGCTTGGTTACGGTAGATCCAAGACCAGTGCCCGTGCTCATGCCTCGAAATTCGAGGATCTAGGCTTAGGACCCTGGTGCTCGTGCCCTGTTCCTTGTCTATCCATGCACAAGCCACTAGTGCCCGAATAGTGTATGTCTATTTAGGAAAATCAAATGAGATTTTTCCTTACCAAACGACGGAAAATATTTTCCAGTTCGTTTTCAGGTCTCGGCCAAATTCCGGAAAAATACTGTCGTTTTCAAATCTAAAAGCCCGTGAACATTTTTCCTCCAAACAAACAGACCACATCAAGTTTAGATCGGGGAAATGGGGACGAATGGCTATTTTCCCTTTTGGCAAGAAAGAAATAACTTCTCCCGGAACCAACAAAACCAGAAGTGATATATGTACCGCAAGAAAGAATATCCTAAAGAAGTAGCATCAGCAGCATTCAAGCGTAACTCGAACCAGAATATTCCAGGTATTCGCCTTGGGGCCAAGCGTAGATTTGCTGATCTAATTCACATGTCGCTTTCGCTATAATCATCGTCACCATGCTCATCCCTCACACCAACCCCAGCACTTAAAAAACCCACCCTCCTTTTCCATCGTCAATCTCCCTCTTCTGCGTGGTCTGGTGCAAGAACACACGCACCCTTCTTCTCCTCTTCTTCTTTAACATCTCTCGATCGATCTCTCGCTCGCTCGCAGGAATTTGCTGCTGCGGAATGTCGAACAGCGAAGAGCAGGTGGAGGACGCGGGCGCCAATGGAGGAGACTCGTTCCGCGAAGTGAAGCGGCGGTTCAAGGACAGATCGAAGGTGCGCGAAGCTTGGGTGTGTTTTGTATTTTCCTGGGTCGGTTTCGTTTGTTTCCTTCGGGTGATTTTCGTGATGTAGCCCCGTCCGCGACGTCGGTTCGCGGCGGTTTGTTTGTTTCCCCGGTGTAGAAAGTGGCCCGGACGAAGGAGATGACGAAGCAGATGATCTCCAAGCAAGCCGAGAGGATCGCTCAGCGAGCCGAGGAGCACGAGCGATTCATTAACAAGGCAAGGTTTTTTCTCTGATTTCGCCACGACCCTTCGCTTTGGCTTGAGGTTGGTTGTATTGGGGGTGTTGCGTTCCCGCCACCTCGGTGAGATAGCATCGTTGTGGCGTTTCTGAATCAGATCGGGGGTGCCGAATTCATTGGACGGCGATGTTATTTCCTCTGTTTATGTTTCGCAAAGCTTAGCTAAATGAGAGTCTCTGCTTAGGCTTGATATTGTTGCTGTATGAATATTGGTTAAGTTTGGAAAGTTGGGTATTCTCTATCGTGGGGTCTTGTTAAGCCTGGAATTCAAAATTTTTTTACTTGACGAATTGATGTTTAGGTGACGCATCTATTAGGTGTCCTCGGGTTTGGTGGGTTTTGCTACCTGCTTGGAGCCAGTAAGTGACATACTGCTTCTCTCTTGTTTGTCAATAGGATGCATAAATCCATCACTAATTGTGAATTTGCTGGAACTTCCCACTTCTGCAGGACCACAAGATGTTCCTTACGTATACTGTCTGTTCTATGTGATTTTTGTCCCCCTCCGGTGGATATACTATCGGTTCAAGAAATGGCATTACTACCTATTGGTAATCTCTTAAGTCCCTCGTGTTAAGTACTTGGATGGACTCATGTTCTGATGTTGGTGTGGTGCTGGGTGGGTTTTAAGCAATTGAATTTCATTGTAGAGATTGATTAATTATCAGAAGTCTTGCCTATCACAGAATCGAGTATTTCTGGGTTCACCTAACTCTCTCAATATGTTCGACCAAGAAAAAACTCTCTCAATATGGGAATTGGTAAAAATGGTGAAAGTTGTGAGAAGTTGAAAAGGGGCAGAGATTTATTTACCTAGAAATTGTGCCTGTTACAGAAAATGAGTATAGCCAGGATTAGTCGACTGTGTCAGTGAGAGGTCTCTCGTTTAAGAATGGTGAAAGTGGTGAATAGTTGAAAAAGGGAATCCAATCCTTATGAAAATTCCTGAAATAAATGCAATTAGAAATTCCAGATCTGATTTTAGTTTTGGAAAAACAAAATCAAACGGGACTTACGTACCGCTGCTGCTTTGGATACTCACAAGAGCAAAGAAAGACAAAAAGAAGAAAGAAATTACCATCAAGAACAACAAAAGATGCTAAGCCATGTTGATTTTCCTTTTCTTTAAGCTTCTTAATATCATCCTCAACATTATTTATTTTCTGATAATTGTTTTATCTCATGAAGTCATTCCAACTGAGCATTTTAAAGTTTGACATTCTACATTGTTTCTCACAGGACTTCTGCTACTATGCCAACACTATCTTCTTGGTCGATCTTCTTCTATATCCGAAAAATGAAAAGCTTTTTATGGTTTGCTTCTCGTTTGCCGAGGTAAAGAGCTAGCAAGGGTAAATGTCCATGATTTTAATACGAGACCCTTATACTTTTACGTTTAATGCTATGGCAGGGACCACTGGCATGGGCATTGATTGTCTGGCGTTGTAGCTTGGTGTTTAGTTCAGTTGATAAAATTGTTAGTGTGCTCATTCACCTTTTACCAGGTGAGTTCACAGTTAATCTAGAATCCGAACTGCTTCCCTTTTCCTATATATTCAGAAGTGATAAGCAGTTTTAGGTGTGATGAGCTTTAAAATGGTTATTATAATACTTCATTCATAATGTCCTAAGTAACTGTCACACCATGAAAGATCTTAGTACCTGTAGTTGTGATGATTCCTTGGTAGTAATCCATTTTTCTTTGTGACTAACTTTAGATGCTTCCTATGGTCTATGTTGCACAGTATAATACTTAATTTGTGAAACTTGCAAATTTCCCTGTTCTCGTGCTCCATTTGGGCATCCTAAGTATCTTGAGTCATTGCTTTCAATATGTCTTTTCTAATCCAGCTTGCCAATGTTGAGGGCAATTTTAATTTTTACAATTGCAGTACTGCATTGATAATATTTTTCAGCTTAAATAAAATTTAAAAGATGTGTAAGTTTCTAATCTATGGAACAGCCATATTTCCTGACTGATGAGGACTATCTTGTAGCATTTGTTACTTATCTGACCAAAATGAAAAGAACTTCTTGCTGATCCGTCTAGTAACTACCTTTAATCCGGTGAGGAGAGTTATAGAAAGGAACTGGAAGCATTTAGTAAGCTCCTGGCTGTTATGTTCTGCTCCTCTTCCCCTAGAGACTAGAGAGCTCCTGTTGCTGGTTCATTTTGTGACATTTATTTTTCTTTTAAAGTTGGAGTTCTTTCAAGAGGTAAGCTGGTTTTATAATTAATGGCACCAATCTTAGTAATTCTCAAGGTGAAGAAAAAAAAAGATTGAGGGATTTGGATTGGAGAATGAAGAGGGCACTTGTATGACAGTGTTTTATGGCTGTATCAAGTGCAAGTTATAATGTTACTTCATCACAGCTCATGAGGCTGCTTCTTGATTGAGATCTTGGCATACCTACCTCCATATATTTAACTTATCCACTAAATGATTCTTCAAATTCATGGATTTAACAATTTTAGTACCCAAACTTGTGAAAACATGAAGAGATTCTATTTGCTTTTACGGAGGCGTTTTTTGGAGCTACAACTCTAGGGCTGCTGCTTATGTCCAAATGACTCCTAAAAAAATGTTCGATTATCTAATAAAAGGAAATCATTGTTCATTCAGGATTAGTTTTTTTTACCATAAGATGGTGGAATCCCGCCACATTTGCTGCCATGCATCCTGAAGGAACAGCACGAAGAGTCTCGTGGCCGTACGTGGAAGACAAGTCCTATCTCTGGACTTGGCTGTTTCTGGTTCCCTTAGTTGCTTATACTCTTTGGCAGGTTCTCTATTTTCTCATAGTGAATGTTCTACGTCGACAAAGACTGTTGAGAGATCCTGAAGTTATGACTTCTTATAGGTTTGTCGACTCTCTCTGTCTCTGTCTCTCTTCCCATCTATTCCTCAAAAATCAGAGCGCAGACTCGCACACCCACAACCACAAGAAAATGAATAGTGTGTATCCTATCTTATTCATTTCAGAGTGCTTTTATGAAATCTTCTGGCTTATTGACCACAGGGAACTGTCTAAGAAGGCACAGAAAGCAAACAACATATGGTGGCGTTTGAGTGGCTTACTAGGGGATAACAACCGGCTTCTCATGTACACTCTGCTTCAAGGAATATTTACCGTGGCGACCATGGCGCTCGCTGTCCCCATCTTTTTGTCTTATAGACTGCACGTGGTCTTCCAAATACTAAAGGTGTCTGCAACAATTTGGAACGGCGGAAGCTTCCTCTTGGAGGTTATGCCAAGGCAGGTCATTCTCAAGGAGAAGAAGAAAACGGAGACGCGACAAGGACAAAACGAGCAGGAACAAGCCCCCGTTGCAAAGGACAATCCTCCCAGCACAGTTAACTGCACCGAAACGCACCAATCGTAGTGCACATCGGTAAACCTCGAGACTCGAATCTTCATCACTTGTAGAACTTCCATCGTGGCGATGTGTCAGCTGCCCGATGGTTGCGAGCATGTTAAGCTCGCCCAGCAATGCTGATTTGTTCCGGCTAGTCCAAGGTTGCATCCTTTACTGATTCCTTTCTTTTAGAGAGTTTCTTATTCACTGGAGTGTAAGAGAAGGTTATCATGGAGGTGAATTCCAAGTTTTGTCGCCAAGGTTTGGACGTGAATGTCCTCTAAGCTTCAGAAAAAAGCCGGGACATATGTTGAATTGTGTGAGTAGCCTAGAAAAGAAATTAATCAAGATGTTGTCAAGCTTTTGCTCGTATTAGTAGAGTTAGTAGAAAGCAAATCAATTGCCTGTTTATGCTTTGTGCTTGAGGATGATCCATCGAAATTGCATCGACCGTTGTAAGCATCAATATCGGTACCACTAAAACCGATGAATCCAAGAGGTCACTCCGAAACTTAGTTTCTGCGACGTAAATGCATCATCTACAGATGACAATGTTGAGTCTTTAAAGGAAAAATTAAGAATTGAATTACTTTACTTCTCACGTACAATACATATATTGCCCTTGAACTGCAACTGCTATCACCACTTACGCTAGGGAAACAAAGAATTCCCAAACCACTATAAAACCTGAGAAACCAAAGCCATCACCGAATATGAATGAATCCCTCACCCGAGAGAAAAAAAAGAAGGAACAGAAAAGCCGAAACAAACATGAAAATTGCCTGTTGGAGGCGTGACTGAATTGGCGGGATCCGACCCGCCAATCTGAAATGGCACATATCACTGCCATAGCGATATGGCTTAAACTAAAGAATGGCCCTCACGTCGAAGGGACTTGAGGGGTGAAAAAAAAGAATGGAATCAACCCAGACATCAACCAAATATAGCCCGGGTTGATGGAGAACATGTAATATATGGACACTTAACAAAACAATATATGCACAAGGTTGTCGGTTTTGATCCGCTGAAGCTTGGTGTATGATGAGACTGAAGTCGAGGCCCAAAGATGTGATCGCACCCTCATTCTGAGCGTGGAAGTAAGAAACCAAAACCAGAGTTTTCACGTATCAATGCTGGAGGATCAACATCGGCTATGTCTATTTGTTGCATTGACTTCGAGATGTCATCCACGGAGAATGGGATGCTGCGTTGAAATTTTCAAGCTTGATTAGAAACCAAGTTGCGTTCTTGGAGGATGATAAAGAGGGGAAGCCAAGACTTGCTTGCTGTCAAAAAGAAATGCAGATAAGCATAATGGAATACCTTGAATCGTCGTCTAGCAAGAACGAGCGACTGACCGCATTATTGGAGTCCTCGGTCATCATGACTCTCATACTCGAAATAACCTGAACGAGGAAAATTGGAAATTACGATGAATTTGAGCCAATGCGAACAAATCTAAACTACAAGATCAGTTGCGTGTATACCACAGAGACCATAATTAGCACTGCCCTATGCAGATAGACTATTTACTTACTTCTGAAGACACGCTATGCGTGCCATATTTATCATCCCAATACATCGTACTAATCCTGTACAACTGCTGTATGCTTAGAACCTGAAAAGGCAGAGAAGCATACGCAAAAAATCAAGAGCATGTCCAAGAAGCGGACAAAAAAGAAAACTGCAGCATGGGGCTTGAGTAGTGCAAAGGATGCAATTCACTCACTGGGCAAAGTTCTTTAGTGATTTCGGTCAAGGTCTTCTTGGGTTTCTGATGTATGACCTGCGTTGTTAAGAAGTTCGAAGGAGAAAGATGGTCAGCAACTTCACCGGTGATCTTACCAGGTTAGAGATTCTTCAAATGTACGTTACCAGAAATCCGACGGCCTGCCTAATATGCTTCAATTCATCCCAAGCTGAACCTGCATACTGCTTACAAGAAGAGTTCAGCAACAGAAACCAAAAATTAAAAAAAAATAAAAAATGAAATGCCCAATCATCCAAGAGAGAGCCAGCGCTCACTTCCTCAGTTGCTTGATTGCACCACTGCTCTAGTTCAGCCAACCCTGATTTTACGTACTCGCCATTACTAAATGAGCAACACTCTCGCCGTAAAAGAAGACTGCAAAAGAAGAATGCAAAATTTGTCGCTTAGATACTGACAGAGCATGAACTAATGTGTTCACTGGTGATACTATTGCGCTTTACAATTAGTCACCTGTTAAACAGCTGAACATTTATGAAGGAGAATATCTGTGTGAACACCTTGCGAACTAGGAAAGGTGGGACCTGAGGAATCATAATCAGAATGCATAGTTCGTAAAAGACAAGGAAGAACCATAAGCAGCAATATGCTTTAACTTTCAAATTACTTACATTGTTTGCTTTCATTGTCTGGTGATAATTGTTCAAGCTTTTCACTATGCTTTGCCAGTGAGCAATCAAAGCTTGCTGAGCGACAGCATTAGCTTGAGAACGTCCTTTGACCAAACTACCTCTTGATGTCCTGGGAGCCTGCATTAGGTTCATGAATACTTAGAGCAGGAGAAAGTCCACACCTCAAAGCACACTTATGAGAACCTGATGACTAATTTATATCTAGAACGTCAGCAACTGGTCTACATTCCGGAGACCAGCATCATAAAAGTAATGTTCTGTGCTGTAAGCCACAACTGAAAAATTGGGACGAATCATAAAGCTTGTCTTGGGCACATGAAAAGGTCTACACTATCACTCTCCATTATCTTCCTTAATCACACGAGGAAGACATGCACACCAACTGGCTCATATTTTCATGGTGGAGAATTATAAGTCTCAAAAAAATTACAGCCAATATCTTGCCATGTTACCATCAATCTGACGTTTTCTGAGCAGAAGGGACTGTATAACTTCCTACTTGACCGTGATACTCGGTATAACCTAGCTTATAGCAATAAGTAAGATTTTACTACATCATAATTGAGTCCTGCAACTCAGCAGCTACCTGGATACATAGCCCAAGCAATGGAGAAATCTCTTTCTTCAGGTTGTCTCGGATCATTCCATAAATTTTCTCCAGAAAAGCAGTAAGCTGTTGCTTAAATAGCAAAGCTGGATATTTGGCCTCAACTTGTCGCAAATCATCCAGCTTTGTGAGCCCTCTACCATTGAGGAAAGAAAGTCCAGCACCTTGAGGAGACGACCGTAGCCCCTACAATTTCAAATGGTGAAGTTTGCAAACAGATGGAACTCAAATCACGGAAAATAAATCATGCGAGAGTAGTTATCCAGAATTTTGTTTCATTACTTGTGACATCCTCCCAAAAAGAGAAGCAGAAGACGTTCTCCTTCGCTGTGGTGTCAAGCTAGCTGCTCCAGTTGCTTTAAGAGTATGTTGAAGCAGCAGCAGCAAAGTTGATGTGTTAGATAACCAATAAGCTAACACGCCATTATTATCCGGGACCTTCATCAATTTGCAGAGCGCATCAGTGACTAGTGAAATCCCTTGTGAACTGACCAATTTTTAATAATCCCACAGACAGAAACTACAGATTACAGAATGGGGAGAGAAGTGTTGAATAGGATACTTACTTCTATTGCTGAAGCTATTGTTTGGATTATACGGTCAAATATGCTTGTCCTTTCAACCTCAAATGATCGCCAATGAAGTAGACATTTGTAAATTACACAGGCAGCAACAGGTTTGCCTCCAGAAAATCCCAAATTTTGTGATATACATTTTATCAGCAGTTCCTGGTTTTCCTGAAAAGAGAACGATTGAAAATTATTCTGGACTGAAATAAAATAGGACCAAAAAAGCTGGAATAGAATGAATATGTGAAAAACGAAGTATGCATTAAGGGGACATTAATTTTCTGCAAGTCTAATCACCACTAACCTGCTGCTTCTCATTAAGCGATTTCTGTGGTTTTTCTTCAGATTCAGGTTCACGTGTCGGTGTAGCCAAAGACATGTCCTGCAAAAGAAGCAGGCTATTGAACAAATGCTTGACTGAAAAATCCTGATATAAGTAGCATTGATTAGATAAATGTGAGTTCTCACCAATGCAACCCTTGTTTCTCCATTTGCAACTGTTCCATTCTCGGGTGTTCTCTGCATTTTATTTCCCAAATTTACAATCTATTATCGCATCAAGAAACAACAGTATTAATTAAGTCCCATCCGTACCTGCATAACAATAGTCTTGGGTCGTGCAGACAAGTTTTTCCCTGTCGGTGACATAGTCAGTGCTTGCTGACGCAGTACTTGATTTTCTGACTCTGTGTTGGACAATTTCTCTTCTAGCCTGAAGTATAGAGACGAAACCAACATAATAAACATAAATTTCCTTTAGAAAGAAACCATTGTCCGGAGCAAGGGAAGATATATGCTTCTGTATTCATAAAACAAGACAATATACAAACATCAGTTTAGAGCTACTGAGAATATTTGCATCTAACAGACCTCTGCACAGAATCCTGAAGCTGATCAGCTTTTCGCTCTGTGTCTTCGAGCTTTCGAGCCAGCTCTGATATTCTGGCCTCTGCATCCACATGAGCTTTCTTTGTCTCTTCTGCTGCTGCTCTTTCTGATATAAGCACAGCCTGTAAAGCCACAAAGCTTTCTAACTTAGTGTATCAAGCTAATTTCATATTCAGTAAACATAGATGAAATGGGTGAAGCAATCACATTGATTAAGCCAATCCATAGTTAAAAAAGAAAAAGAGATTTTCTAACTCGGTATTTGATAGGATCATATATATGCAGATTTCAGCCAAATAAACATGCACAAAGCTTGTGAATACCAAACTAGGCTATTACTCCACGCAAATGACCTCCTGATCATCCATGCACAAACAGAAGCTATTTGACTGTTATATTCAGTTCAGTTGCTACTTGAGATCGACCAAAAGTCAGATCATTTACACTTTTTTACGTGATTACAGAAGGAGCATCACCCCTATTAGAATTGCTTCCAAGAGAAATTCCTCATCTAAAAGAGTCAAGAGAAATGTCCTTTCTTTTGTTATAGCCTGTAGCATCACACAAACTTTGCATGCCAATTGGCTTCAGCACCACCAAATTATCCTTAATCTCCAGCAAGCTTTTAGTATTTCGTTTAACTTACTAAAACCACAGATATTACGGTTATCAGCAGCACCAAGCAGAGAAATTACCGAATTGATGTCCTTGATTTTTCAAATTTTCTAGTTTGGACTATTAGCCATTACTCCACCAGTAGGATTTGGTTCCAGGCATCATTATAAGATCAGAAGTGGGATATGAGACCATGCGCTAAAGATAACACAATATTCAGTATGATGGTGTACCTTCAAGCTCTCTATCTCAGCTGTTAGTTTATTAATCTTTTCTGTGTCTTCCACTATTACAGGAGTCTCCTTCACAACCGGTGGAGCATCCTCAATAGC